CTGGGTGCTACTCAGTGCCAGTTGTCATGTCATCATGTTCGAAGTTGCTTTTTTGCATTTGCACCAGACAGTGTGGATACCCTTTGCCAGGTGGCCCACAGTGAAGGGGATTGATTGCTTGCCAGCTTGAAAAAGTGTTCGCCAGCCAATGCTCAGCCAGTCATGTTTGACAACCACTACTTGTCTACTGCCTACATGTACAGTCTTATATATGTGTATGTCATATACAACAGTAACCTGGGGCAAAAAACCTAAAAACTTAATTCTTTGCCAATGCCCGAGAAGCATGAAGAGTTCATAAAAAGTTCATATTTCGAGGCCGAAAAAGTTCATAAAAAGTTCATATTTCGAAGGCCCCAAAAAGTTCATATTTTCAGCTTTTATTGGCCATTACAAGGAATCCGAGGCCAAAAAGTTCATATTTCCAGGCCGAAAAGTTCATAGAAAGTTCATATTTCGAGGCTCGAAAAGTTCATAAAAAGTTCATATTTCGAGGTCCGAAAGTTCATAAAAAGTTCATATTTCGAGGTCCGAAAAGTTCATAAAAAGTTCATATTTTCAGTTTTGTAAATTTGACAAAAATTCATATTCTCATGTTTCCAAAATTGTAGTAATCCTGGATGCATGCATTCACCTGTGTGTGTATTTGTATGTAGCCACAATCGAACCCTGCGACTCCTCATTCTTTTGGCCGGATCGGAAGAGCGCCACACTTGCAAAGTCGGAAGAGGCATAGCTATAGGCTCATGCGAAGCACTGCATGGACTGCTGCAGCCTAGTGTTGGTATTGTTGTTGTCGTTGCTGCTTTTGTTGGTTTTGGTGTTGGTGTGGTCGTCGTGGTTGTGGTGGTGGTGATGGTGGTGGGGGTAGTGGTGGTGGTGGTGGTGGTGGTGGTGGTGGTGGTGGTGGTGGTGGTGGTGGTGGTGGTGGTGGCGGTGGTTTGTGGTCGTCGTGGTTGTGGTGGTGGTTGTGGTGGTGGTGGTGGTGGTGGTGGCCTGGGTTTCCCGAACCCAGCAATCTATCTTGAACCCAACTTGAACCCTAAACCCCGAAACCTATAACCGCTCTTGATGTTCCTATACCTAAACCCTGGAAACCCCAAACCCTATAAACCCCAAACCCTAGAAACCCTAAACACCCCAAGCGCCAAAGCCCGCAACACCCAAACTTTTGTGACACTGTTCAAGTGCTTCCGCTGCCTGTGCCTTTTCAAAAATACGGAGGCTATAGTCGAGCTGGACCTGGATCATGCTATTAAGGGTTTAGGATTTAGGGCTTAGGGTTGTGGGGTTCAGGAAGAGGCTACGGGGCTTAGCCAAAACAACCTCCCGGATCCACATCCAGCTCAGCCTTCCGGCGAATTGCACGGTTGTTGTTGTTGCTGCCTGTTGCTGTTGCTGCTGCCTGTTGCTGTTGCCGCTGTCTGCTGCTGTTGCCCGGCTCACTGGTACTGGCGTTCCATCTCCCGCCGCTCCTCTGCGAGCTCCCTGCCGTAGGCGCTGGCTTCCTGTGGCACGGAGTTTGGGTTAGTTTGTGACCTTCCGGCCTGTTTCGACCTTCCGGTCTGTTGTGTTTTGTGCTTCCCAGCACTGCCGACCTTCCGGTCCTTAAAGAAAGCAAGGGTCCTCCTGCTCGATGGTAAGCTCCATGAGGCGAGCTTCCGCCATTTCCTGCTCGAGCTCGGCCTGGCCAGGATGAGGATCCATGAGGAGGGTTTCGGGTTTAAGGGTCTTGGGAATTTAAGTGGCTCTTGCCTGGCGAATCATCAACGCCTCCCTCGCCAACCTGAAATGCCGCCTCTGGTTCTCCTGCAGGCAAGCAAGTGGTTCGTGGTTGGACCTTCCGGTCTGTGTGCAGGAAGCCTGCTGCTCGGTGCGAAGTGCAGCAAGCGGATCCTGTGTTGATTGGGTGGGCCTTCCGGTCTTTCCACAGCATGCTCCTCCCTGCCTCGTTCTGGCTGGGATCGGACGTCTCCATGGCGGCTGCTCCCGCAGGATCCTGTGCAGGCTTTGTGTTTGGGGGTTTTCGGGCTGGGGTTCTTGAGTCCCCGACTTCGGCCGATGAGGGTTTGGCCTCCTGGCGACACAAGCATGCATGCATTGGCCTTCCGGCCCTCGACAGAAACGGCCGCCTCTGCAGGAGCAGCTTCCGCCGCGTCAGCCTGCAGCAGCAGTCTGCGTCGCCGCTTGGATGCCATGTCCCGCATCTCATTCAGCTGCATCTCCCTCTTGTGCATCTGCTCGTCTTGCGGAGCGCGCGCTTCCGCCTCCGCTCGCCGAGCAGCTTCCGCCGCCGCATCTCTCTCCAGCGCAGCCCTCTCCATTGCGAGTTCCTCTTCACCTGCGACATCATGTGTGGAAGGCTTCCGGTCTACGGACGCAGGTGGTGAAACAAATCGGATCAGGCCTTTGAGCTGCTCTGCGATGCGGGCGGCGGCTTCCCAGCCAGTCTCACCTGCATGTGTATGTGTATATATATATATATATATATATATACTAAACCCCTAAACCCTAAACCCTGCAAGCCCTAAACCCTAAACCCTAAACTCCCTAGACATATCTTGAAGCAACGCAGCCATCGGCACGGGACATGGTCGTGCCTTGAGCTTCTTGGTATCGCTCCAGTTCTTCGGCTTCTGGCACAGGCAATGAAGTTATCGAATCTATGAGACCTTCCGGTCTGAGGTTGACCTTCCGGTCTGATTTGCATCCGAGCCACCTTGCTGCTCGACTAGGTTAGCTGGCGGCTTCTTCACGGTGGGCGCAGTCAGCGGCAGCGGGCCTCCGCCTGAACAGGTTTTTTCTGTGTCGATTGTTGACACTATATATAATGCACACCAGGCTTTCCAGCCTACACTGGGTCTTGCTTTCTTGGCTGCCTGACCTGACCAATGCCAAGTGTATATAATTCATGCCATTGCAACCAACTCCCTGCCTGCATCATCCGTAGAAGCTTTCGGTGGCGGGCCTGCATGCAATGCTTCTGCTGTTTCGCGCCTTCCGGCGTTTCAAGAAACACGCCTTTGGGTGGAGAGGTGCCCAGCCACGCAGCAGCAGTCGCCTTGCCTGATCAATGTTTGAGGTGTGTGTACCTATACCTGAATATAGTCGTAAGTTTGCCACCTCCCGGTGGCACGGTGTGCGTCGGAGGTGGGGCCGCTGAAGGCGTCGACTTGCTAGTGCTCCCTGACCAATGATTGCATGGGGCACATGCAGTGCATGAGGTCCTGGGTTTGGCGCCTCCCGGGTCGGTGTAAGTGGGAGGCGGGCCTGGCGGCGGCGGCGGTGGCGGCGCTTTGGCCGGAGCCGGAGGACCTTGTCGGATGAAAACACAACAGACCTTCCGGTCAAACTTCTTTGGCCCTGCCTGGCTGCTTGGGCTGGTCGTGTGTGGCTTCCGCCGCCTTCGCCTTTGGGCCTGCGACATTTAACAAATATATAAACCTTAAACCCGAGAAGCCCCATTAACACGATGACCTGCAGCTGTGGAAGGCGTAGCTGGCTCGGGGTCGACGACCACCACCCCAGGAACCTTTTTGCCTGCAGGGCTCACACCATGCAGAACTACAGCCTTCCGGCTTGCAGAAGCACCGCCTTCCGGCGGCTGATTTTCCCCAGCAACCGGGCCTTGCAGGGATAAACTAAACCAAAGAACTCCACAACAAAAACAGGAAGTGCTAAACCAAAAATTTCAAAAACACAGTCATTCAAAGAGCTTTCGGTTCGTGACCTTCCGGTCTGCAGCCAGGCGTCTGTAGTAGCACCACCACTTCTGACCGTTGTAGATCTTCTTGTCGTGCCCGTCCGGGATGGCGTCAGCCTGGTCGAACTTCTTCCACCAGCGGCCTTCCGGATCCTTCCACCAATCTCTGTCGTCCTGCACGCGAATACAGTTAAGGGGTTTAGGGAAAGGGTTTTGGGCAAATCAGTCCTGGACGTTGGATTGGTGGGCGGCCCATTCCTGGGCTAGCTGAAAGCGCCAGTCTGCGTACGGTTCGCCGGCGCCCTCCCGGCTCCACAGGTAGCGGACCAAGCAGCGATCCGTAGCGTCTTGCGGTCTGTGCCGGTGGGTCATGGCGCCTCGAGCTTCCGCCTTCCGGCGATGCCTCCCGGCAGCAGTAGTAGGAGCAGCAGTAGCAGTAGTCGTAGTAGGAGTAGTGGTAGTAGTAGTAGTAGCAGCAGCTATCGCTTTAGCGGAAGCTCGAGGGCGGCCCTTTTTGGGCCGGCTGGCAGCTACAGGCTACACGCGACCTAGCCTTAGAGAAGCTGCGCAGGGAGGAGTGTGTCGGGAGTTCAGGTTTGAGTGTGTCGGGAGTTGTCAGGTTTCCACCTAAAGTTTAAAAGGGTCAGGTTTCCACCTAAAGTTGAAAAGAGTCAGGCTTCCATCCTAAAGTTTATCATCAGATACCCTACATGCATATATGAGCCTAGGTAAACCCCACAGCGTGCAACATAAGAAGCGAAAGTGTCTGGAACTTAGAACGTGTTCGTGTTGCTGTTGTTTCTTAATTCTTTCTCCCTACCTTGAGATGTGGAGCGGCGCGGACATTCAGAGTTTCCACCATGACATGCTCGTGTTGGCAGAAAGCTGCAACGCCCTTGCAAAACATGCACTTGAAACACATGAAACAACGGCCTTCCGGCCTGAGCTGCGGCCTCCGGGCCTGGCCTTCCGGCCTTCAATGGCAATGCCTGATCTGGGGCCTCCCGGCCTGTTTCGCTTTGTTGCGGAAATTAGGATGCGAGCCTGCATGGGCCTTCCGGCCGTCACTATAAAGAAAATCATGGCAAAACATGCATTAAACTATACCATTCACATATATCTATACACATGCATATACACACTCTTGGTCAACCCCGAACCCTAAACCCTTAACCCGAAACCCTTGAACCTTATACAAACTTTTTCGACCTAAAAAAATGAAGTTGAATCATAAACCTTGCAAACCATGAGCCCTTCATGTGCAAAAGCCTGCAACACAGGACTGTGCAATTCTTGTTCACGCAAAGGCTCCGGCAGGCTTCTTCTTTGGGGCCTCCTTCAAAACACGGCGCCGACGCTTGGTTGGCCGGTCCGGCGTCTCGAAAGACTCTGGCGGAAACCGGGCTCTTATGGCCTCGTTCTCATCGGCTTCCGCCTCGTCCATGGCTTCCGCCTCTGACTGCAGAGCTGTCGCATCTGCTTCCGCGGTCTCAAGCTGCGGCCCTTGTTCAAGTGTAGGAGCGGGCGGCGCTTTCGCAGCGAGACTTTCGTCGACGAAGCCTGGGAGCTCTGCGGCGTTCTCTGCGACCTTCTCCGGCGATATGCTGTCCGCCACTTTGCTCACAGCGCTGGCGCTGGCACGCAAACGTTCCAGCAACTCCGACGGGCTAGCGCTGGCCATGGTGGTTCTTTTCCAAGAAGAAGGATCTTACGCAAAGAATCTTGAAGCCAAAGGTCTGTCATTGCAATGGTGGTGGAATGTTTTAATGCATGCGCTCACATATCCTGCAGGCACACAGAACAAAGCTGTGGTCTCTCATGTTTCCAAAACTGAGCGGTGGCTCTTCTGGCGCAGTCCGCTTCCGCAGGTCTTCTGGCTCCCTTCGCTTTTACAGGAGTCTTAATTATAAGGATCCACACCTGCCTTAAGCAGGAGTCTCAGGCATCCACCCTTGCTCTCTTAGCCCGGGCTTTGGCTTGAAGATTCTCGTAGCGCATGCGGCGCAAACGCTCCCGCTGCACGTTAGTCAACGAGGCTCGGATGTTTTCCGAAAGCCTCACCTTCTCGTGCAAGTCCTCGGCGACTCTTGCCCCCCTTCGGCCTTCCAGCCCCGTGCCCCAGCACAGGTTCGGGGAGAAGTTTGCGACTTCCTCTTCTGCTTGCGCAAGGACCTCCCGACCTTCTGCAAGGTAGTCCCGCAGCTTCTGTGCCTCCGCCTCTTCAAGCTGGGTGTCACCAACCAAAAACGAGGCTTGGACTTGCAGCAAGTCGTTGATGAGGGGCGCGAAGCTCGCAGCGACCCGAGCAGCGTTGACAGTCGCCGCCTTCCGCTGCTCGTGAGTAGGCTCGGAGGCTTCCGCCTCCTGATATGCCTCCTCCAAGAGGTCGAAGACGGACGAAGCCGAGCTGGAGCTTTCCGTGTCCGCCGACATGGCTGGGAGAGCGGGGGGCCAGCAGGGAGCAAAGCTGCGGCAGTCAAAGCATGGATGCAAGCTTGCATGTGCTTCTTGTGCGAATGCGCAGCTTTTGCAAAACAACCTCCACATCAAGCGGCTCCACGACGGCCTTGCTGCAATCAATTTTTTTATTCCTTTCCAGCCCTGAGCGTTTCGGAGCTGTGGGGTCGTGCTTTTCCAAAGCTGTACATGCACGTAAAACTCTACGGATATGAAGGCGATGTTCGAAAACGAACACAAGGGAACAAAAGGCCTACATACTTCCGTATATGGTACATGGTCAAGCTCCCGCAGACCGCAGTGGATGGACGATAGCTTCGCCATCTTTCACTGCTTTCCAGCAGGTCCAGGTCCGGCAGTGAGGTTCTTCCAAGCTTTCTTGGAAGGGTTGAACCCTCTCGACTGCCAGCAAGACAGCGTGCACAAGGGCCGCTTGCGGCACTTCGGGCAGCCCTCGGCGAACTTCTTCACGAGCTCCGAGCAGACCCCGGCCTTGGCGAGCAGCTGCTTCCGCAGGGCCAGCAGGTTGTCCTTCTTCTTGTCCTGCTGCTTCTTGCCCTGCTGCTTCCGCAAGCCCTCCTTCGCTGTCTCAGCCTTCCCGGCTTTGGCCTTCGCTTTGGCTTTCGCCTTCGCTGCAGCCTTGGCCTTCGCAGTGGCTTTGGGCTTCGCAACGGCAGTCAGAGCCTTGGCCTTTGCTTTGGCCTTTGACTTCTTTGGCTCTGCTTCCGCAGCTCCCTCCTCGGTGTCCACCTCGTTCTTTTGCGTCTCGAACTTCTGGGTGAAAGCGTCGAGGGAGGCCAGCGCGGGGTTGCCCTTGAAGTCGCAAGTCTGAGACTGAGAACTGTCGAGGGGCTGCACCTCGGAAGGCTTGCCGACCTGCGGTGAGGCTGGCGGTCTGCTAGCTGTCTTTTCTGCTGGAGGTGAGGCTGTGCTGCTAGCTGTGTGCCCTGCTTCAGGCGCCGGCAGCGCCAGCAGAGGGACTTCCGCCGCAGGTGTCTGCACTTGCGGCAGCGTCAGTGCGGCTTTGCGCTTGCGTCAGTGCGGGGAGGCTTTGCGCTTGCGTCAGTGCGGGGAGGCTTGGCGCTTGAGTCAGCTGCTGCTGCAGCCCTGCCAGGTTGGACACAGGCTTCTGCAGTGGAAGGCAGCCATGAAGCAGCCTTTCAAGCAACCCCACGACCGCCGCGACGTCCCCGCCGCTGCTTCCGCTGCTTCCGGAGCCGCAGGCGTCGGCCTTCCGACTTGACTGGAGATCCTTGTGCGTGTCCCTGCACGCGATGGTCAAGCCAAAGCACCGGATCTCCGACTCCTTGGGGCTCTGAACAGCGGTTGGTGCTGCCTCCAAGCTCACACCAGAGCACTGCAGCCACTCTGCCGGCAGGCAGCTCGGCGTGGTCAGCTTCCAGACCACAGGCCAGAGCTTCCGCCCGGGGTTGCTGTCGTACAGCCCTTGCAGCCGCGCCCTCAAAGAGTCCTTGTACGTCACGTACTTGTCGTGCTTCTCCTGGGCGCTCATCGACAAGGCATCCTTCCGGAAGCGGAGCAGCATGAAGGCGGTCAGGCTGCGGCAGGTGAACTCTGACGGCGAGATGCACCCGGCTCTTTCGAGGAAGTCCGCCAGCAGCGAGAAAACCTCCCACTCCTCAGCCTCCCGGCCTTTGCCGATTTGCTGCCACAAAGTGGCTGGCACGACCCTGAAGAAGTGCTCGTAGTCCTGACACTTTCCCTGCTGCCACAGGACAGCCGCTGTTGACTTTCCAGTCACAGCGTTGCTGCCCAGGGCTTCCGCCAAGCGCTCCAGCTGCTCGGGTAAGAACACTCCCGCTTCGCGAAGTGTCTTCATGGCCATGCCGGAGTGCTGGTTGGACGGCAAGCCGCAGCAAAGAACGGCCAAGCGGTCGACTTGGGTCTTGCGGGCTTCCCAGAGCTTCTGCTCCGAGAGGCACTCCTTCGCTTGCACCAAGTACTGCACCGCGCCCTGGATTTCCTCCATGACATTGGCCATTGCAGGTTTTTCTACGAGCTGCAGGTTTCCCAACCTCACCTTCGATGGAGCAAGAGCTTGCGGCGGAAGCATGCATGTTGCTCTGCGGCTTACTCTAGCATCTTTCCTATAGACTTGCTGAAGCGTCTTTCCAGACTGCACGCGATCGGCGGACACACTGGCTTCGACAGCGCAAGAAGCAAAATAACGGCATCAATGACAAACAAGAAGCACCAACACACAAACAGCACACACACACACAAAAGAAGTTAGAATAAGTTAACATAAGTTAACATAAGTTAGCTAAAAAGTTAACTTAAGTTAGTAACTTCTATTTCTTCCAACCAACCTTCTACTAACTTCCCCCAAGTTAGTAGGGACTTACTACATGGATGGCAAAGATGTAAGGGGGTTACAGGGGGGTTATAAGGGGGTTACTAACATCTATATCTTAACTTAGGCCACACGCACAATCTTAGTACCGAAGGAGCTCGCCAAGACGCTCGTCGCCCAGACGATCCTCCCCGAGGCGCGGTTCGCCAAGGCGATATTCCCGTAGCCCGGGAAGGGCTGCTCCTGCACCGACTCGTCCTGCATCGCGATCCCCACGAGGGCGGGAAATCTGCTACGATTTCAAGAAAGGCAGATGTACGCGAGGAAGCGGTTGCAAGTTTTCCCACAACCTAAAGGCAAGAAGCTCCTCGCCGAAAGGATTCCCGCCTCGGTCTCAGTCACCGATTTCGAAGGAGTCCGGTATTTGCTTCTATTACGCACGAGGCACTTGCACGAGAGGCGACAAGTGTCCCTATAAGCACGTAAAGCCGGGTGCCCCGGCTGAGAGCACCCCTACCGCTGCTCCTGCGCCTGCTGAGCCCGCGCCGACATCAAGGCGGGTAGATAGCCCGGCGCCAACGCCCTCGGATTTTTGAGAGGGGCGTGCCGCAACCCTCAGGCAATGACAGCATCCTCCATTGGAGACTTTGCGTTCGCTTGTGCCGCATCATTCGATATGGCATGTCCGTCAGTCAAGCGGAAGACAGTATCGTTTGGGAATACTGACACCCGCGTGATAGAGTCTTCTTTCCCGGAGCCAAACTTCGGCCCCGTCAATCGCGAGAGGAATTTGAACTATTCGTGGCCGGAAGATATCCGTGGTCTGAATAGTGCTCGCGAGAGGCGAAGGGCCCATATGAAGGCTGTGCTTTGGAGAGCAGGTTTTGCTCGATGACGTTGATGCCAAGACGTTGGGAAATGATGCTTGTGTTCTTGAGCTCACGCTTTCTCAGCGGAGCTCTTGCGAAGTCTTTGCTGCTGCTGTCAAGTCCATTAAGAGGGTACGGAGACTCATGCTCGACTCCGGTTGGGCATAGACCTAATTGGTCTCGGTGACTTATCCCGTGAGGAAAAGGATCTGATTGTTCAAAATGCTAAGATTAGCCTTCGGACCGCCAATGGGAAAACCAACACGAAGGGCGTTGCCCACATGCGCATTGACGGTATCGATGAGCTGATTGAAGCTTATGTGCTTGAAAGCACACCAAGTCTCCTTTCCCTTGGGAAACGATGCAAGGAACTTGGTTACCGATTTATTTGGGAACCCTTCTGCGATCCGATATTCTTTGATCCCAGAGGGAAGCGACTCAAGGTCGATGTTATCAACAACATCCCCTACCTCGCTCCGAGCGAGACCGAAGTAGTAGCGGGTCGACCTGATCTCCCTCGAGTATATCCGGCGCTCCCAGCACCGATCATCATTCACGAGAAGATCGTAGCTGCTGGTGAGGAGCCTGGAGGCGAGCTAGACGATATTGGAGAGCTCGATATTGACATGCCCGGTGCCAAGAGCGCTCAGAAAGATGCTCCTGACGACGCCAAGAAGGTGTCTAACAAATCTAAGCATCAGTCGCCGCCCGATGAACCGAGAGCGCGCGACCTGAGGGAGGAGGCAAAGTCCATCCGTCACCTCATGACCCATTTACCTAAGAATCCCTATTGCGATGCATGCCAACGTGCTAAGATGGAGAATGTTAAGTCATTTCGCCAAGACTCACCACGCGATAAAGGGTTTGAGAAGTTTGGCGAGCATGTCACCATCGACACTATGGTGTTGCACGGGCTTGGCAATCGCGGGAATAATGGGGAGACAGATGCTGTGGTCTTCTATGATCTAGCAACCGAGTGGTTGGAGAGTGTTCCCGTCAAGGGAAGAACAAATGCCGATACGCTTCGCGCGTTCCAGCAGGTCTTCGGCGACCTTCAGGATGTGAACTCATTCTCCATGGATGTGGAGAGAAGATACGCACCCTCTGCGATTCGGGAAATTTATTGCGATAAAGCCCGTGAGTTCATATCGACCTGCAAGAGAGTTGGCATCTCTGTGAAGCATTCCACTCCTGGCATGCCTCGAACTAATGCCATTGCCGAGAGCAAGGTGAAGCTTGTCCTTCATGGCGCACGCGTGGCGCTTAGGCAAGCAGGTTTGAGCGCCAAATTCTGGCCTTATGCGTGTAAGCACATCTGTCATGCTCGCAACATCGAGCTGCGCGAGGGCCAGAGTGCATACGCATTGCGATTTAATGGTGCCGAGTTTGACGGTCAGGTTCTTCCATTTGGCATTGGATGTCTTGTTGACTTCTATCCCACGCCGGCACGAAAACAGACCCGGCGAAGTCAGAGAGATGAAGTCGTACTTGGCGATGGTGAGGAGTATGCACTGCCTGCGCCTGGAGATGATGGATTGATCGATGTCGAAGTCGGATTCGACGATGACGTATCTCGAATGGATTGATGATGGAGGTGACGATCGATCTGGATCCCTCCAGGGCACCGATGTTGATCATCGCTTGTCATCCTACCAACGCCCCAGCAAGTTCTCTCCCACAAGCAAGCCCGGTATATTCCTGGGTTATCACTTCGAGAATGGGGGCAGGTGGGACGGTGACTACATCGTCGCTGACCTTGAAGACTTCAAGCGCGACGCATTGCGAGCAAGCGTTCATCAGGTAAAGAAGATATACTGTTCTCCCAAGGAGCGATGGACGTTTCCGATGCCGGCTGTGTACGATAAACAGACTCGATCAGTATGCATCAACGATCCCGCGATGCACTCTACCGTGCCAAAGCCGAGTGAACGCCTTGACGCCTCCGACATGCTCAATCTCGAAGATATCGATGAAATCTTCGCCCTTGACGAGTCGACTCGAATGACCGATGAAGATATTCGACAGGCCCGCGAGGCTGAGTTACGAGCAGAGACCTCTCATGGAGGAGGCGTCGACTACTGGGAATATGATCCATCCGCGCATAAGTGGACGTATCACGTTGTTGTTCCAAGAAAGGCGATGGTACATCCCAGTAAGACTCCAGGTTCCATAGGGGAGTCGCCTGATCCGTGGAAGCTGAGCACGGTGCGTATATCGAATGTTCAGTACAAGGACAAAAGCCCGGTTACGATATATGAAACCGGGTATGCCTTCGACAAGACAAGACTCATGCAGCTTTGGACCGGCACTGTTGAGTTCTTTGATGACGGCTTTGCCCCACCCAAGAAGAAGTTGCCTCCTTATCATGGATCTGAGGTCCTGGAGGGCGAGGGGGGTTTACGCTATCATCAGAATGTGCCTCGTTCCGAGCGAGCATACAAGGGGTCTCGAAAACCGAACTCTATCGACTCTGAATCCTGGCGAAGTATGAATCGAGCCGAGCGGGAAGGATATGTTGAGGCTGAGCGCCGAGAAGCCGAGAAGCTGAGTCTCATGCTATGTCGCGCGAGGACTCTCGCGATGCCGCTCCTGTTGATATCGCTTTCGATTCGGATTATGAGTCTGGTGCCGAACGGCATGACAAGGACTACTGGTATCACGATGTCGCTGCTGGCACGATCACCCGATTTCATGTGATCGAGCGCCGAGCGCGCTTTAATCCGACCTCCGTCAAGGATTGCCCTGTTGATCCTGCGACGTTGACCGATGTCAGGATGACTATGGCCATGACCGACGGCACGGAGTTTACATTGCAAGACTCATGGAGATCATCCGATGTTCGATCTCTGCCGTGTCGGTGGACTGGCAAGACCGTTTTCGTCATTGGTTCCTCTGCCAAAACGCAGATTAAAGTTCGAACTAGTCTGCCGAATAAAGATGGCACAGAGCGCCGCGTGCAAACCGCAAATGGATATTATGGCCATGCACTGCGTGCAAAAGGGCGTACTGTTGTCCCTGCCAAGTCTCGCGCCTGTGTGGTTACGGATCTTGAGTTTGAACCCCCGGGCGGTATGTCAGCCCGTCTCCAGCCGCTTCGCGGCAGTGGCCTCGATGTTTGTCCGGCCATGTACAAGTACAATGAGGGGGCCACTCAATCCGGTGTTGACGTCCTTAATCCTACCGATTCCGATATTACAATCGAGCCTGGACAGGACGTTGCAGTGGTTCAATTTTACACTTCGGTATTGGCAGCGGTTGAACTCGACTTCACCGCAGAGGATGTCAATGGTGATGTGTCTACGCCGGTCGAACCATCCGACGATGGTATTGCTGCTGGTGCAGCGCCTGCCATGTCTATACGTCCTGATCCTCATTCACACCGATCGCCCGATTCATCGGTATTCTTCTATAGTGCGTGTGTCGCACGGCCCGTTGACCGAAAAGAACGTGCCGCTAATCCCAAGGCCAAGGCCGCCCTTGATAAAGAGTGGAATAAGCTCATCAATCAGGGATGTTGGCGTGCGTGAATGGCGCGATGTATCCAATGAGGCTATGGCAAAGGGGGAAACGGCCCACGTTGGTCGTATCTTCGATATATGCGTTGAGAAGAATTCCGAGCTTCCGGAATCTGATCCTAATCGCAAGTTTAAGGGTCGTGTAGTGTTTGAGGGTTGCCATGTCAAAGATGAAGGCAACAATTGGGCTATCTTCTCCGAGATTACATCTTGCCCCGCGACCATGGAAGCTGGAAAGGCCGCCGATGCTTTCGGCCTTCTTCCTGGTCATGAAATCCAAGTTGCCGATGGCGAATCTGCCTACACCCAAGCTAAGCTTGGCGGCCCGGCAACGTGGGTACGATTACCCAAGGATCGGTGGTTGCCCGAATGGCGCGGCAAATACCATGATCCGGTTGTGCGCCTTGTGTTGGCTCTCTACGGGCACCCGGATGCCGGTGGTTTCTGGGAACAGCATTGTGAGAAGGCTCTTCGATCAGTTGGGTTCGAGCAATGCCCTGACTGGAAGAGTGTCTTTCGTCATCCCAAACTTAATCTTATGCTTGTTGTCTACGTTGATGATTTTAAGCTCAGTGGACCGAAGGCCAATTTGGCCAAGGGCTGGGAGCTCATGGCTTCCAAGATCAAATTGGAGCCGCCTTCGAGCATCAAACGTTATCTGGGATGTGAACATGTTTCCCACGTTGTTCCTTGCACTTTTGATCCGCGTTCTTACTGGACGCGATTCGAGGAGCCTAAGAAGGCGTTTCCCGAGCTAACTTTTGGCTATCGAGACACCAGTGTCGCGCAGGGCTCTGTTGGTCCTCGCGAAATTCGAATGATCAAGTACGATATGCGATCATTCATGGAGCAGTGTGTTTCTCGCTATGTTGAGCTCTGTGGTCCTAAATATAAGGCCTCCTTACGGTCGGCTGACACGCCGTTCCTCGATGAGTCGCGACCGGAGTTCGATACCAATCCGGATCGCCCCGCCGTGAACCGCCTGCTGGGCCATCCCGCTGACACGCCTGTGCCTCCTGGTAAGGGCGTTCTCGGCGACTGCGCAGCCGCCGTTCTCATGAAAATCCTGTATGGTGCTCGCATGGGGCGGTACGATCTCATTCGTCCTGTGCAGGCACTTGCCAGTCTCATCACTAAATGGGATGGCTTGTGTGACAAGAAACTCCATCGATTGGTGTGTTATATCAATTCTACCCTCGATCTCAATTTGTATGGGTGGATTGGTGACGCACCCGAGATGCTGGAGCTTGTGCTCTACTGTGATGCCGATCTTGCGGGTGACCGTACTGATTCCAAGAGCACCTCTGGTGTCTTTATGTGTCTTCTTGGGCCGCGTAGCTTTATGCCTCTTAATGCTTTGTCCAAGAAGCAGACTTCTGTGTCGAAGTCTACCCCCGAGGCCGAAATTGTCTCCCTAGACCATGCAGTATATAAGTTGGGCCTACCTGCTCTTTCTATGTGGGAGTATATGTTGGGCCGCCGTTTCCGACTGCGGGTCATGGAAGACAATGAGGCTGCTATTCGCGTCATTATCACCGGTCACAATCCTAACATGCGTCACATGTCTCGTACCCAGCGTATCGATATCTCTGCGCTGAATGAGCGCTATCACGCTAGGGATTTCATGTTCGTGACGTGTCCCTCTCAGTTCGAGGCTGGTGATATTCTGACTAAGGCCTGCACTGATGCGAAAGTATGGGGCCGCAACCTCATGTCTATTGGTCACTTTCGTAAAGGTACTCTTATATCCTCTGGTATGCTGTCTGCCGCCCCCGCTCTCCCTGCTCTCCCCTCTGTCTGTCCAACCAGGGGGGTACATCTCGAAGCCGGTCACAGCCCCTTCAACGATTTCATCTTCGATATGTCTCGTCAGGGGGGTATTTCGATTGACGATGCACACCAATTCGGAGCAGCAATAAAATGCATTCATATCGGAGGCGAAGGCATAATCCGATTCCCTCATGCTCGAAGTATCAATCTCAGTCTCGATGATAATGCAAAGGGGATTGCTATTTCGAACATCAGGGTTCCGCCCACGCCTGTGGTATGTGTTGTCACTATTCCGATTGCTGGCGCCGCTAACAAAAGAGACGCTGGTTTCAAGAACAGGGGTTGGAAAGAAATGAGGGGCGACCTAAAGGAGAAAGGATGGGAAGCCAAGAAACTACTCGGGTGTGCTTCCGCTGCCCGATCGTCCGGTATCCCCGTGTTCCTTGTGCTACCAAAGGGAAACCCGTTATGGGGTAGGGAGTACGTAAGACGATGGTCTGAATCGCACGAGCTGATGTTCTCAGCATGCATGGATGTGTGAGATTTTCATGCCTGCCCGATTTGGGCCTATTTTCATGTCACGTTTTGCATGCAATCACAAGAAGGCCAAGAGGGCCGACCCGAAAGAGCTTCGACTTGCTTTGTGGGCAGTGCTTGAACATTTCATGAACTCTGCGACTTTTGGCTCACAGCAATCCGCGATGCCGATTGCTTAAACAAAGACGCTAAGGCCATGTTCACACACACTTGCACACTCACACTTTATAACAACTGGGTATGAAGCTCTAGGGACAACGATCATAGATCACTATCGTCAACCGACCATTACAGACCACCTCTACTACGACTCGATCTATAGCCCACTTGCGCTCCCTGCTAGGACAGGTTGTAGCTGCCACGGGCTGCGAACTTCTCCGCGCTGCAGAAGGCTGCTGCCAAGACACCGGCTGCCCGATCACCTCAGCCAAAGCCTCCCTCGCCATGCGGGGAAGGCCTTCCGAGCGCTCCGAGTGCGGCAACTCCGTTAAGGCCTCCTGCTCCACCGATTCCCACGGGGCAGGATGACTCTAATATGGGCACCGATGAAGCCCCAGTTCCGACCCAGACTCCGAGAGACGAGTCTACCGGGGGCGGAAGACGTCCCGAGGCTATTCCGATAGGACTGAGGATGAAGGCGATGATGCTGAAGATCGGGGTCCAAGAGATCCCGCAAGCCTCAGTCTGGCAACGCCTCGACCAGCTGGCGTGCAACCATGGTTTCGATCAGAGGCTGCATCAGCTGATTGACTCCTTCCTCCTCACTAACCATCCACTCGCGGACAAGCAGAGGAAGCAGTACCCTCGGGAGTTTATGGACTTCGTCGACCGATATAGGGTGATGTGCGCTCTTGCATTTTCCCGAGTGGCGACACTGTCAGGTGATGCCGCAGGGGTCCGCGAGAAAATGGACCTCACGATGGCCCTGGCTCGCCACTGTATGCACTTCCAAGCGCAGAGCTTTAAGGGGTCTCGAGAGACGCTGAGCAACGATACGCTCCGTCTCATGGGAACATGTTATATCCCGTCGCCTCTTGCGAGCTGGAACCGAAATCTCATGGGGTACAGCAGTTCGTCTGCGGAGCAGCGATGGCTGAGGACCGATACGAGTATCAAACACAATGACCTCGCCAAGTTGTCACCCACTGAGATGTCCAGGGAAACGGTCAACCCGGCTGAGGCTGTGAAGTTCTTCAAGGGTTTTCTGCAGCTCCGGCCGACGCTGTCATTTCTCCCTGGATCGTTTCTGGCGATCAAGGCTCTTAACCGATTTCCCACGCTGGACTCTCTAAAGGAGCAGGCCATGCATCTCGAGAACGATCGCAAGGAACATGGCTACGATCTTCCTGCCGTGGACGCGAACGGAATCGGGGAAGTGGCCGCCTTCCGCAACGAAGACGACGATGGAAATACCCCGTTGATGCACGGGTGGGTCTCGTTCATGAAGGCATTGGCTGATACTTACCCTGGGCGATGCGTCAGCATCGATGATACGCTCAACTGGGGAGCCAGCACCCCTATGGCCTACGAGGATGGTGCTTCGCAGATCACTATCCACCCGACTGACGGATGGGTGTATGTCCCAGCGATGAATTCGGACATTTATGATCCTCAGGAAACGTTCCTCCACGGAACGAATCTCCGATACCTCTGGTCGATTCTTGCGCACGGAGGCTTGTTCGGAGAGGATTACGTGACGGACGATCATGGAAGTCACGAACCCTGCGTCTGGGTGACTGGACACGCCCCCGAGGCTGCCGGCAGCTATGCGTCTGGCACGTACCTCGGTGGGGGATACTGGTTCCAAGTGATGATCTGCGTCTCCCGGACTATGGTGAACAGCCACAGCCGAACGACAAAGAAGCTGGGGGGATCCCAGAAGCAGATCCGCGTCGGGACTAGGTTTCTCGAGCTGTGCGGGATCGCATTCAGGCCATTCCGACTTTTGGACGACCGCGAGAAAGGGGTTTCGACCTCCCCGAACTACGTCGTCCACGGACACCGATTTCTCAGTGCCGACGGAACGAAAGCCGTGGCCTGGCACCCGTGGATGGAGGCGAGCCCGATCGATCCTCGCATCCTGCAGCTGCTGGGAGACGTTGTCGCTCACGATAATGTCGAGTTTGCAGACCTCACGATTCAAGGAGGCAGCACTACCCAACAGATTGCTTCTACCGAGACAGAGCAACCTGGGGCAGCCGCGGCTGATGATCAGGCCACGGCGGGTAGTGGTGAAGCAACGGAGCGAATCACCGTCGACCCGTCAGTGCTTGACGCAATCACTGGATGCCTGACAGTTACGGAACGAGCGAGAACGCTACCGTCGGTGGAAGGTATGCCTTGCTGTCCGAGCTTCAGTCTTCTAGCTACCGAATTGAGCTTGCGCCATTCTTCCAGCTGCGTGCACCCATCCTGGGAGAGGAAGGGAGCCAGGATCTGCCCAAGCCTTCAAGGCTCGAGAGGATTGCCGGAGGACCATCCAAGGAATGGGAGGCATGGTGCAAGCACTACCGAAAGGCATACATTGTCATGCTTGGCAACTTCGGCTACATGCCCGCCAAGAGCATCAAGGGTATCCAGTACGATGAAGATGGTACAACGGATATCATTAGCGCGCCCGTCTGGAGTCCGGCCGACGCCCTTGTGGCAATCTCGATCCACGGGATCAGAGCGGTCACGACCATGCATGGCTTCCACGATTGCATTTGGGGGTGCTCCGCCAACGATCAAGCCGGCGGTACCCAGTAAGCCGCAGAGGTTCGTCGTCATGCACGACGGTCTGCTGACCTTCAGGCCCGCCAAATCTTGGCACGATGGTGAGATGAACGCCCATCTGAAAAGCGTGCTGACGAGTTTCGGATTCCCGGAATCTGAGGTGCGCGTGCAGGCGTTCGATGAGGGCTATAAGCTCAAGGATATGATCGATACGCTTGCGCTGATGCAGAGCGACACCTCTATCCCGCCATCGAATGTGCACATCCTCATCCTTTGGAGAGGAGAGGATTTGTGGAAGCTGGACCAGAGCTGGAGTAAGCTTACCGGTGACATCGATCTGGCACGATCACAATACGCCAAGTCGACTGCACGGGATGCTCTCGAGGAGTACAACACGATCTACGGATCAGTGTCCTTCTGCGGACCAGTGTCTCCGAGCATGGGATACCTTCCGACTCTGCCAGGCCATCTCTTCGAGAAATACAGAGAGGAGATGAGGATGATCTGGGACACGATCAGAAGGTCCAACTTCCTCACCCTGTCATATGACGCTATCCTGGAGGGACTGCCGTTCCTGAGGGGATATCACGTCATGCACGAGTCCAAGACGATTGGGGTCTTGTGTACTCGTATCTGCTCGATGTTCACGCTTGCGGCTCTCGCGCGATTTCCATCTTATGGGACCCGCCGAGAGTATCAGACCGCTGCCGATAAGATGTGGGAGCGCACCCCAGTCCCAGAAGAAAAGCCGAAGGGCGGGGTGAAGGCCATTGTGCACTCCACGGTGCAGGACCTAATCGAAGGAGCAGATCGCGGTCCCGATCATGGACCCACAAAGACTGTTGATATGAGTCAGCTCGGCTTCGATGACGACGATGATGAAGATATGGCCGGTGACATAGCTCCAGCTGCGGCCAAGCATCCGGTTAAACAGGAGCCGGGGACACTGGCGGATCTTCCGGGTGTTCGTCATCCAGATCCGATTGTATTGCCCGCTACTCCTGTGCCCGGCCAGGCAATGCCTGTGTCGCCCGGCCTTGCCCCGGCTGCTACGAACAATGAGGAATCTAGCAGCAGTTCCGATGATGACGAACAGCAAGGGGATGGCGATACGGCAATGCCCGAGGCCAAGAAGGAGGAATCCGATGAGGAGTTCAATGAGCTTCTCGAAGAAATGACTGATGCATTCGAGCAAATGCCTACTCCTCGTGATGCGGAGCGAACTGTCGCAGCCAATCGGGACGCCGCTCGACCGCCTGCCGTGCCGACGATTCCCCTATCCGCAATGAAGAAGCCGAAGCCGATCGGTGGCGAGGGAGCCGCAGGGCCCACCACCGAGAATCGCCAGAGTTATGCTCATTACGAAAGCCAAGTCAGTGAGGCTGAGGCTCGCCGTGAGCAGGCTGCGAAGATGAAGGCACATATCGCTGAAGTGGCGAAGGGTGCCACAGGCGTTGAAAACGCCGAACACCTTCGATCCATTGCCGATGGGCTCGACAGGATCATGGACCCGAACATTAGCGATGACAATGTGTTCCAGGGTGCCATGTACCCTCCGGGTGACTATGCGCTCGACGCTGTCACGAACCGGTTGGCCCAAGGCAGGCGTCGGGTCGAATCGAACAGCAATCTCATCAGGGAGATGGCCAGCGACCGATTCACGCCTGTGCTTATCAACCGAGATACTGGTGAGACTGAGTCAGCAATCGATGCACGATGGACCCCAGAGTATGGAAACAGGGGGGAGCTTGAGGCCAAGGTTGGTGCGATCATTTCCAACCTTGATGCCGTGGTTGCAAGCATGTCAACCCTCCCTGTGTTCCATCCGCACATTCCCTCAACGTATGGTATGGCTCGATCGCTTCTCAATACCTACCAGTCGTTGCAGCTTGCCATTCGACACCGTGGCATGGGTGCGATGTCCTTCGAACAGATGGCGTTCAAACCTGAGGACCTTGAGGTTCCGACGCCCGATGATTGGCCGGACCTCATTGCGCCTACCCCAGGAAAAGTCATTCAGTCCATGCGGGTAGCCCTGGTAAACAATACCGCAGCGAGGTTGACGAGAGAAGACCTCAAGCTGCCGCCGGGCTTCGCTATGCAGCGACGGGTGACCGAATTCCGTAAGCCGGATGAGGATCCGGTACAGAGCCTGATGGGACTCACCGATGATTTGAGCTACGGCACCACCAGCCGAACTGGGGACGATAGGTTGTCCCAGTTCCAGCGCAGTGTCGCGGTACAGCTGCGGAACACTGCGGGGTTCATTGCGAGCGAGTTCCAGAAGCATGCCCGATCGATAGCTGCTTCCTCCTCGCGTCGCAGTGATGCCTCTGGCGCCATGAGTAGCCAGGGTGAAGGTGCGGCAGACAACGATCTTCCGTCCACTGAGCCGGCTAGTGTCGCATCTGAGCGTGCGACGACGCCTCCTCCGCCGAAAGTGGCTCCTCCTCCTCCGCCAACAGCGGAAGCACCTCCGAGGGCGTCCGAAGAGAGTGCAAAGGAGGATGACGATGATAACAAAATGGAGGATGACACGGCCGATCAGAAGCCTGAGCAGAAACATGAGGAGGATGCCGAAATGGGTAGCGGACAGGAGCTGCAAGACGAGGTCCCCGGCAAGGCCCCGCCGCCAGCTGCCCGAACCGCTTGAAACCCACCGGAACACGGCGTGCGTTCCAGTTCTCCGAATGTGATGAAAGCTCAGGGAGCCGTGCTCTCCGGTGCTCGTGGGCCGGATATCGATATTGATCCAGCCAGTACTGCCGCTGATCAGGCAGTGAACGATCCAAGAAACTGCCGAATCGAGGGCCCTGGTATCAAGGCGACAACGATTCATCGCCCCGACCAGATGCCCGAGAGAGGCTTCGACTCCATAGCGCCGGTCGTACAGTATGAGATGTCGTCCGTTCCGGTAGCGCTACCGGATTTCGTTGTTCCGGGACTCGACATGGGCATCGATGACTCTGTCCATGGTCGACTGGTCTCAGCGACCTGCCTCCCACCGACCGACGAACAGCGCAAGTTTTCGAATCGACGATTCGCCATGCTCTCCTCGAATCAGACAGTGTACTTGAACGTGGCACTTCACAAGAAACCTGTCAAAGGGGATCACGATTCTTTCCTCCGACCGGAGTCTTACGAGGATTGCCGCAACATTCATGACGCTGTCCGGGCCTACAATGCCAGTGAGGCCAAATACCGATCTGTCGGCGGAACATCTGTGTCATGCAGTCGATTGCTTATCGACGATGCACAAAACATTCCTGCTGCCACGATTCCGGACGCAGGAATGATCAATTTGGTGCGGAAGCTGATGTTCCGAGTGCTGACACAAACGAAGGAGTATCCTTCCCCTACTGCCGGTGGACCGCAGAATCGCCCTCAGGATCGTGAGAGGGGCATTCCCTTGTATTCACACTTCGATCAGAGTGGCATCATCGCTTTCGATGTCATCCCGATGTACATGGAGCGTGAGAGGGAATACATGAAGGCCAACGCCGGAGAAGCCAGTGGCCGGATTCTTCTCCAGACAAATGTCCTGGATGAGAACGATGAACCATCCGAGCTTACTCTTCAATGCATCATGGAGATTGCCCGGACGGACAACAATCGAATGTTTGAGTTCTTCTACTCTACGATCAACGATGATGGAAGACCTCAGTTTGTTGGCATCCGAGCAACTTACGGTTTCGGCCCCGATAATTTTAACCGATTCCGACTGCTGACCAAGTGCCAACACGGGCCGTTCGTTCAGCTCGCTCAAGACCATTATGTTGGTGGCGAGAGGAAGAGGAATGTGGCCCGACATCATCCCCAATACGGATGGGGTTGCGCAACGATTCGCGAATTCTTCGGGTGCATGAGTGATTGCAAAGTCAACCCTCCGAAGGGACAGCTGTTCCTCACCCTGCTCCCGTATGCTCCCGGATCTGGGAACAACAACGAGTGGGAAGAGGTGTACATGAACGTCCGAATGAACCCGAAGCGTGAGACGCTCTCGAATACCGCATCGACACAATCAATGCTCCCTGAAGGATTGGGATCCAACCGCATGATCGTGTTCGCAATTGATTTGCACATGGTCGCGGCGGGTATCAATCCGATTTCCTTCCATCCGAGAGGATACTACGCGATCAAAGACAGTATCCCTCTCGCCTGTATGCCGATAGCATACTTCATGGACTCGGGATCCCTAGTGTTCAACACGGCCTTCAAATACATCGGAGGTACGAAATTTGGCACTGGCCCCGAGCGAGGAAGCCACAAGCGGGAGACGTGGCCGCTCGCTAGCTTCGACTGCCCCATGTGCGGAGCTTCATTCCCGGTTGGTCTCCACATGTGCCACTCTTGCACTAAGCCGATTCACTATCAAGGCTTTTTCGTACTATTCGGGGGGTCAAAGATCAACCAGGGGATCCTGTTTCAGCGGAGCTTGAAAGGAGCATCGCCGCGCCGCCCACCAGAGACGAGCGCCGATTGAAAAAAAAAAAACCTACGACACCCTAAGGCCTCAGCTATTATACTTGTTAATTTAATTTAAATTTATTATATGAATTTTAAATTTTAACATTTCTCCTGTTCTCCTGCTCTCGGGGTTGGGCAGGCTTCGGGGAGACGGGAAGAAAGAAAGAAGCGAGAGAGAAGGAGTGTGAGAGGAGAGAACCACGTTGTTGCACTTGGTGGCTTTCTGTGCTAAGGGCGTAGGCTGAGAGGTCCAAGGCAGAGGTCGTCTGCACTGCAAGTTGCGAGGCAGGCTGGGCAGAGCTTGCTCTCTGGGGCTAGTTGTCGCGACGCCTTAGGTAGTCAGTCTCAGTGTGCTTGCAAGGGACCGGGATTGCAGTACCAGCCGAGATTGCCGCAACCACTGCTGGCTTGTTGCACTTGCTGGCTTTCTGTGCTAAGGGCGTAGGCTGAGAGGTCCAAGGCAGAGGTCGTCTGCACTGCAAGTTGCGAGGCAGGCTGGGCAGAGCTTGCTCTCTGGGGCTAGTTGTCGCGACGCCTTAGGTAGTCAGTCTCAGTGTGCTTGCAAGGGACCGGGATTGCAGTACCAGCCGAGATTGCCGCAACCACTGCTGGCTTAAGGTGGGAGGTAACGGCCCCGCAGTGAAGAACTTCAGGGTGTCTGTCGGCTATCAATGTCAAGCTCTATAGCTGCTAATAGCTGCATACTATCGCTGCCATGTAGAAATCATGACCTATCACAGATTACTCGCTGCCATGTAGAAATCATGACCTATCACAATAATTAGACAACTAGCAGCGCAATAATGTCGTCGTCGTCGCTGGTCCCGTGCGACGCAGAGAGCCAGTACCAACAGTGCCTTCAGTGGATCAAGGAAAGGCCACAAGAGTTTCGGTTACGTCTTGTGACAGAATTGACGGAGTGGGAGCAATCTTTGTCGCCAGACAACAGCCCGACACGCGGCATGCGCGGCGACCTCTTGGAGGGCACGATCATTGAGACAGAATGGGGTGATGTGACCGAGTACATGATGCCGCCGTCTGGGGTCTTCAGCTTCCGGGCCCCGGATGACACGATCACTCAGCATACAGGCGAAAAGTATTACCACAGGTATGTGCCGCACCTGCAACAGTGTTGGTACTTCGTGGCCTGCAATCATTGCAGGAGATGTGTCGTGACCTTTGCTGACAAAGGCGGCTCCTGGCCTAAGGCATTGAGGGAGATTGGTTGGTCAGGCGCTAAGTGGTACAAAGCCTATTGCCCTAAATGTACGGGAAAGTAGGCCGAGAGGTTCGGAGCCTCGCTCTTGTCTCGGCCGAACTCCTTATTTTAAAGATGAAACTAGGCCGAGGGGTTCAGAGCCTCGCTCTTTGCCTCGGCCGAAATCATCCTTCTTCTGGAAAGTAGGCCGACGAGAGATGGAATCGGAGCCCTGCTCCTTGTTTTGCGCCTAGTTTGGGCCAGAGTTCTCGAGAGTAGGCTGAGAGGTTCGGAGCCTCGCTCCTTGTCTCGGCCAAACTCCAAGCTAAGGACAAAAGTTGCGGCATGCAACAAGTGAGACTTGTTACCCTTTACTCCCAGCTGCAGTAAACATTATATTATTTTGCCTTCCAGAAGCGCATGCCGAAATCGTCCTTCTGATCTTCTGGAAAGTAGGCCGACGAGAGGATCGGAGCCTCGGTCCTCGTTTTTCGCTTGCTAGTTTGAGCCAGAAATCTCCAGAAGCGCATGCCGAAATCGTCCTTCTGATCTTCTGGAAAGTAGGCCGACGAGAGGATCGGAGCCTCGGTCCTCGTTTTTCGCTTGCTAGTTTGAGCCAGAAATCTCGAGAGTAGGCTGATATGATCGGCGGAGCTTCGCCTCACTCTGACTGTCTCGGCCGAAATCCAAGGACCAAAGTTGCGAAGTGTCGTGAAGCTTGTTACTCTTTGCTCCGAGCTGCAGTAGACAATTTAGTTTTGCATTCATCCGGAAGCGCTTGGCATGTCACTTGTGTTGGAAATCGGTAGCTTTGTGCGCTTACCTCCTGGCCTTGTTCAGGGACCCAGGCTGGCAGATAGACTGGGTCAGGTTCCGCAGCCATGCGCGAGATTTACGACCGAAGTCCACAAACAACCCAGGCCAAAGCTCAAGGCAATTATAGCTTTAGACGACACGCACTCTGGCAGCCCGAATTCAACAAGCCAGCCATAAATCAGCAGTAAGTCCAGGCACTGATTGATTGCCGTTGAGGCGCGAGTTGAATTGATTTTTCGGTGCTTTCTTTTGGAGGGCTTGACATTGACCGACTCATCAGGCCATGGAACCCAGACGTGGTGGAGCCGTCGAGGCGGGTACTTCTGGGGTTCGGGGTCGGTTGACATTGATTGACTGCTCTGCCAGATTCTGACTGTCAGTCTGTGCTTGCAAGGGATTGCAGTACCAGCCGAGATTGCCGCAACCACTGCTGGCTAAAGTGGTGGGAGGTAACGGACCCACAGTGAAGATCTTGAGGCTACTAGCCCACTTTGAAGCTTTACCGAGAGGCGTTGTGTGAGGTAAGAGCCACAGTTGGAGCCAGGATGATTGACATTGAAGAAAGTTTGAATCTGAGATTCTGCCATTATTATTGTGAGATTCTATCAGTACTATATTAGGATAAAATTATTTAGTAAGACATTGAAGAAAGGTTTGAATCTGAGATTCTGCCATTATTATTGTGATTATTACCGTCACAGCATAACATAATAAGTTATGATCTTGGTCTGTGTTTCGAAATTCGTCAAATTGTCTTTTGAATCCAAAGCCCGTCATGCCGCCGGCTGATGATGAGAATGGCCGTGAAGTCGGGGCCGTCGGGGACCCTCTGACTGGTGGCGTGGTGGCACAGCCCAGCAAGGGGCAACCGTGTGCAGAGTGTGGAATCGTCAAGAAGAGGAAGCAGATGCTTGTGTCCGACTCGGACGCACATGGGGGCATGAAGATCTGCGTGGATTGCATGGCGGAGCTAAAGTTAAAAGCAGGGGAAGACGTTGACATGGACGAGCTGAAGAAGGAGGCGAGGTGGCAAGCCCAGTCCGCCAACGCCGGATTGCGCGTGGTAGCGTACCAGGAGGCAATCAAAGCGGTACAAAGGATGAATCTTCCGAGTACGCAAAGGAAGAGGCAAAAGGCGCTCGTGTTCGCAAGCAGGTTGGCCAAGGCCATCCAGGATGGCAAGCTTTGGGAGGCCTTCAGCCGGGCAAACCAGCGCATGAAAGCAGCGGTGGCAATTCATGAGAAGATCCAGGAGATGGAGAAGGCCCTCGAGAAGTTGCGCCCGGGCGATGCTCCATATGAAGAGGCTCTGAGTGCCTTGATGTTCTTCTGGTAGAATTTAAATTCAATAATTTTTTAATTTACTTGACTCTTAAAAGTTTCTAGAACTATAATAATAATGGAAGCTCAAAGTATAACTTTTAGGAGGGGTTCAGAAGTCAGCCAATTTGCCAAGGCACCCTGGAGAAGTTGATGGAGGAGGAAGAGCAGGCGTATGACTACCAAGTGTTCAAGGACCACCCTGAGCAGGACCGCATGGTCAAGGCAATGGACTATGACGACCGAATGGAAGTGAATGAAGATGGTGAATGGTCCATGGCGCTTTTCTACATGTGCCGTGCCAAGTGTGGCGACGGCAAGACATGCGGCCTCTACCGGGCAGGGAAGCTTTGGGACAAGCAAGGGTCCCGGTGGTATTGCCGGCAGCACAAACCCAACTGGGAAAAGTACTACCCGGACATCCCCTTCCCCGCTGAGTTGGGTTGTGGCGCACGGTTCGTCCCTTGGAAGAGGGGAGAATCTATGGTGCTGGAGTTCCCTGGGCCAGATAATTCAACACTGGCAATGATGGCCGACCTGATGCCGGAGATCCTCGACGACGAGGTCAAGAAGAACAAGACGGCGTGGTATGAGGGGCTCAACAACATGAGCCCACAGCAACTTTACGACCTTGTGCCGGTCATTGTCCCGAAGGTCTACGCCATTGAAGGATGCCCGCAGATTGGGCGCTTCCCTGTTGACGAACATATCAACAAAAAGGAGCCGAAGCTCACTACTGCAGGCTGGTGGCGCCTCGCCCGCTACATCAGCGAGAAGGACGGCAACCTAAACACGATCCTGGATCTCTGCGACAAGCACGACCCCGGAGGCAAACGAAGCCAGGCATCGACCACGGGGTCCAGTGCCGCTAGCGGCAGTGAGCGAGACTCCTCGCCAAACTCCGGAAAGTAGGCTGAGGGGTTCAGAGCCTCGCTCTTTGCTTCAGCCGAAATCCAAGGAGAGTAAGCTGAGGGGTTCAGAGCCTCGCTCTTGTCTCAGCCGAAATCCAAGGACAGGAGTATTTCGGCGGAGTTGGCGTCTTTTGCAGGCTGTTTTAAAGCCAGAGTTCTGGAGAGTAGGCTGAGAGGATCGGAGCCTCGCTCTTGTCTCAGCCCAAATCCATGAACTCTACAAGTCACAGCCTGCCGCTTCGCTTGGCTGTCGAGGCTGCCCACTGTAAGAGCGAATCATAAAAGCCATCTCAGAGTCCTCCGTAGGATCAGAGCCTCGGCTGCCAACAGCGACTCACAGTAAGAGCAAGAGTTCTGGAGAGTAAGCTGAAAGGATCGGAGCATCCTTGGCGTTCTTCTGGTTGGCTCTTTAGACTTTAACTGACTTTTAAGGGTTTCTATATGAGCTATAATATATAAGGAGGCTAACAGTTTAACTTTTAGGAGGGGTTCAGAAGTCCGCCAAGCCTCGCTCTTGTCTCGGCTTAAATCCATGTGCTTTCTGAGTTCTGGAGATTAGGCGGAGAGGTTCGGAGCCTCGCTCTTGTCTCGGCCGAAATCCATCCAACTCCCAATTAATCTAGCACAGACTCACCACAGATTCTGATTCGAGCAGTTTGAATGGTGCAAAACACGTGCCCTTGCCATTATTCTTGTGCTATTGCGCGTCTGCATGCCAAGTAGCTGTGAAGTTTGCAGCTGAAGTTCAAGTAAAACCGGACGTCGTTTGCT